GGGTGGGGCTAGGTCTTGGTGCTAATGGTCCAATTAAGATGTCAGCCTCCAGGAAAGCTCATATAGATGAACACTCCTGAATGTCAGCCACTAGCTTTTAGGTCCCCAGGGTGAGCCGCAGCTGTCCCCTACGTCCCCAGGAGACCCTCCAAATCCAGCAGGCAGGTCTGGCCCAGTTTCCTATGAAATCACTGCTGGTGCACGTAAGTTTCTGTGTACGCTTCTCAAGCGAATGGAGTCTGTTTCCCCCAGTCCCGTGGGGCTCCTCAGAGTCAAGCAGCCCTGGCCTTCAAAACCAGATGTCCTGGGGTCTCCTCCTCCCCACAGTGTTGGAACCTCGGGCTGGAGAGCCTGATGTGGGGCTCAGACCTTTCACTCCTATGGAAGGGCCCCTGCAACTAAACTATCCTTCAGCTTGTGGGTCGCCCACCCTAGGGGTATGGGGCCCAATTATATTGTGCGCACGCCCCTCCTACCTTCCGGCTGTTGTTCCCTCTTTATGTTTACTGTTGCAGAAGATCTTTTCTGCTAGGTCTACTCTTTTTTTTGATGGTTATCTCGCAGTCAGTTGTGGTTTCGTTGTATTCGCGAGGAGAGGTGAGCTCGTGGTCCTACCACTCTGCCATCTTGACTGGAAATCAGGTGCAAAAGTATTCATTGAGCTCAATAGAAATAAGATCATTATTTTACCTAATTAAACCTAACCATAAATTAAAAGTTAACCTTATGAGTTAAAAATATGAACAATTCCATTTAAATATTACTCCTTTTAAGACAGTGTTTTCCAGATTGCTGTCCTAAAGACCACTCTTCCACATAATGCTTCCAAGAGTGCTTGAAGCACCAGTGAGGTTTGGTTAAACACAGCCAGGCGGACATTTTTGGGGGAGAGGATGAGGGGTGGATTTCTCAGTCTTTTATTAGGCTGATGTACATTTTTAAAGATGTAGTTATTCACCAAAAAACTGGAATTTTGCAATTAAATTGGGAAATAATTATTAACATCTCTTAAAGATTTGATTTCCACATACTAGTTTAAAGCTTTAATCATATTAGAATGAGTCCTGGGAAGGGTAACTCCTTAACTTGCAGCTGCTCATTTTCACGAGTGTAGCTGAGTTTGTTACCTAGTGGAGAAATTCTGATGAGGCTTTGTGTGTGGGCAGGACCTGGGAGAGGGTGTCACTGAGCACCTTACTCTGCACTTTCACATCTATATACTTCTTAAGAGGCAGTAGAACTTAGTTTGGACTTAAACTTCCTATATGTTTTCATTTTGAGATTGTGGATAAGAACTTTTTTCTGTCATCGTTTGCTGTGTTTTAAAATACTTTGATCATATGATTATAGAACTTAGAAGGGACAATGTGACAGTAATTTCTGTATCATTTAAATGTGCATTTAAATGTTACCAGAATTGCCAAGACAGACATTGGGGAAAAGCTCTTGACTTTTTTTTTTTTTTTAAATTGGCAAGCTTTACTATTTTCTTCTTTTTTAAAGTTTATTTTTCTTAAGTTTAGTTTTATTTACTTACTTCATGGATATGCTGGGGCTTGAGCCCAGGATCTCGTGCGTGCTGAGCATGCGCTGTAGCACAGAGCTGTGCCCTCCTCACACTTGATGCTTTTCTTCCTGAGGTTTCACCTGCCATGATCACGGTGCCACGGTACTTCAGTACGCGCCCAAACAGCAGCTCCTCATATCTGGAGGTAGGAAGGGATTTGTCTGCATTTTTGACATCAGGCAGAGACAGCTAATTCACACGTTCCAGGCCCACGACTCTGCTGTTAAGGCGCTGGCTCTGGACCCCTGTGAGGAATACTTCACCACGGGCTCCGCAGAAGGCAACATAAAGGTGAGTCGGCGCGAGAGGTGGGACTGTGCTAAGTGTTGTCTCCATCTGCTGTTGAGGCAGGTGGCAGAGGGGTGGGAAACCAAACCAAAACCTCCCCACACTCCTGGGAGTGAGGGCGTGAAATGAGGCCGGGTGGGGATATTGAATGCCTCACGACACTGTTCCTCCCTTACTTCCCTGTGGTTCTTTCTGAACTGTCAGGGGCTAGAAAACGTGATAGTCAAACTCAGCATACTCTCAGATCATTAAAAAGCGTTAAGGAACACTGTTGTGAGTAAGTGTATGAGTTTAATTAATGCATAAATTTTTGGGGGTGACATTAGTTTGGCTCCACACAACCTCCCCCGCATCCCTCCAGTACCTGACTGTATAGTTGAGGTGAGGTCCCCAGGGAAGTGAAGTGGCTCTGGTCTTTTAATTAAATACAAGCAAGGCCCTGGGGCAATATAAATTAGAGATGGGGTATATAGGGTTGATACGAAACAAGAGGGTGTGAGGAGAGGAATTTGAGCGAAGGGACAGTAACATCTAAGCATTAAATGAATCATGTAAGTGGTACTATTTCCAGTTGGGAAAGAGGTAGTGGATGGGAAAGGTGGGGTTTAATGAGATCAGTTGGGCCAGGGGAACAGACATGAAGGCCATGTTTTTACTTCTAATCTCTTTCCCTCTCTTTTTAATGGCTTACACTTTTTGTTTTACACTTTTTGTTTTCATTTTTTCTTTAAACTAGGTTTGGAGATTGACAGGCCATGGCTTAATTCATTCATTTAAAAATGAACATGCTAAACAGTCCATATTCAGAAACCTTGGGGCTGGAGTCATGCAGATCGACATCACCCAGGGCAACCGGATCTTCTCCTGTGGGGCAGACGGGACGCTGAAAACGAGGGTCTTGCCCAGTGCTTTTAACATCCCTCATAGAATTCTTGACATTCTATAGACTTTAAGGTTGGGGCTTTATTTTTATAAACATTTCAATTGAAAAACACACTGTAGAATCAATTAGGCATTTCTGCTTTCCAAGCAGCTGTTAACACATTGAAAACAATACAGAGAATCTCTGTGTAGAATCTGAACCTGATGCAAGCTGAGTGTTGCCTATACAGGTCGTTAGAATGACTGTGCATGTACCATTTATCATGCTGACGTAAATAAAACAAAGCCTAGTATCGTATGAAGGGAGTTATCCTTTACAGCATTTAGCAAACCTGATTCAGAAAACATCTGCGGTTAGAAGTTAGGGTAATAGTAAGTTATAATAATGAGAAGGACCTTTATACCAAATTAAGGAAGAAAGTGTTGCTTGATTCAGGTTTTTCCTCCCATTCTTACCGCTGGCCGAAGCATGCCCGCCGTGTCCGTTGTTGAGGGAAGGATGGTGATCAGGAGCTGGAAGCTCTGGGCCACCAGAAACACACGCTAAGCTTTGGAGCAGCACGCAGTGACTAGTTCTCTGCCGTGAGAAGTCGTGCCGTTCTTTCCTGCTGAACATTTTTCCCGTTAGCGTTTATACTGAGCTAGTACTGTAACTTGCAACTGAGTGCAGATTTAAATGCAACGTTTTCCTCACCGTTTGCACATTCACATTTTTTGGACTGCTCGTTTTTCTATTTAAATATTTGCCTTCATGTTAGGAATGTAATATGTGGACATGACATGTTTGTAGTTAACCAAAACATACCCAGTTAGTACTTCTTTTCTTAGTCCAGTTTAGTACTTCTTTTGACGTATTCAAGGTTAAACACCAACATTTTAAGGCTATGTTGGAACTACACGAATAGAGCATTTCATATCCTAATTAAGATGAATGTTAGGCTTTTTGTGGCCAGTTCATAGTTGATCGAGATTGGTGATATTATTTATTACCACAGCCTATTGTGCAAACTATGCAGAGTTAAATATTATTTGCTTGAAAAATATTAGCCAATGTTATCATATTTTGATGTATGTCCTTGGTTTTGACCAAAAATACATTCTTGAAATATTGAAACCAATGTCTGTGTGTTTAAATGTTTACCAGCAAATTGTCTCATCATGTTAATGAGAATGTTTCCTGCCTGTGTGGTAAATAGTAAAATATAATGGCATAAAAGCACCTTTCTCTGAAGGCAGTGTAATGTTTTGGGCTGTGAAATACTAATGTAAAAGAAAAATAAATGTTATTTGTTAGAGTTTTACCTCAGTTTGGTCTGGCATTCTTTGTAACATTTTTAACAGCTGAGATAATTTTGATAAAATGCTTGACTATTAGAGAGTGTTTAAGCTATAAGGTAGTTCATTCATTTACCAATATTGTCCAAGTACTGTCTGTATCAGAAGCCATTCTAGGAAATGGGATACAGCAGTGACCAGAGTACATGCAGTGTTGGGATTTAGTTGGGCAAGAACTAACCTTACTGTGCCTTTTTGTTTACTGAAATGTGTGGATTTTGGTACCAACACTGGTGGAGGAACTGGGAATGGTGCTTATGTGAAGTGGTGAGGAGAGGAGGAGGAGAGAGGACGCCTGAATACACAGTACAAATCTGGCAAAAATTATCAACGTGTACATACACTTACCACAGTTCTGTATACAGGAACCTGTGTATGTTGCATTGTCTGTATTAAACAGTACCCGCTGATTCAGTCAGACTCTGCAAGATAATAGACTTAAAAAAAATTTCAGTATAGTTGATTTACAGTATTGTGTTAGTTTCAGGTGTACAGCCAAGTGATTAATTTATATGTATATATTTTCTGTCTGGAAGATCTGTCCATTGATGTCAGTGGGCTGTTGCAGTCTCCTACTATTATTATATTCCCATCAGTTTCTTTATGTGTTACTATTTGTTTTATATATTTAGGTGCTCCTATACTGGGTGTATATATGTTGATGAGTATAACATCTTCATGTATTGATCCCTGTATCATTATATTGTGTCCTTTGTCTTTATGGCCTTCATTGTATTAACGTCTACTTTGTCCGATATGAGTATTGCTATCCTTGCTTGCTTTTTATTTCTATTTGCATGAAATATGTCATCCCCTCAGTTTCAATCTGTGTGTGTCTTTTGTCCTAAAGTGGGTCCTTTGTAGGCAGCTTTTTGTAGGCTCTTGTTTTATCACCCATTCTGCCACTTTGTTTTTTGACTGGAACATTTAGTCCATTGACATTTAAAGTAATTATTAGTAAGTATGTATTTATTACCATTTTAAACCTCGTTTACCAGTTGATTTTGTAGTTCTTTGTTCCCTTCTTATTTTGTTTTTTTCTTGTGTGGTTTGATGATTTCATATTGATTTATGCTTCAGTTCCTTCTTTTTGCTTTTTGTGAACCTGTTTTATGTTTTTGATTAGTGGTTACCCTGGTTTTCAAGTATATGGACCCATAACTATATCTAGTTGCTTTAGGCTTGAGTCCATAAGTTCAAACATATTCTAAAAGATATAAATTTTTACTACAAAGCTACAGTAATCAAAAGTGTAGTATTGGCACAAAAACAGACATATGGATCAATGGAACAGAATAGAGAGCCAGGAATAAATCCACAGACCTACAGTCAATTCATCTTTGACAAAGGAGGCAAGAATATACAGTGGGGAAAAGAGAGTCTCTTCAAGTGGTGTTGGAAAAGCTGGACAGCAGCATGTAAATCAGTGAAGTTAGAACACTCCCTCACATCGTATACAAAAATAAACTCAGAATGGCTTTAAAACTTAAATCAAAGACAAGACACTTTAAACCTCCTAGAAGAAAACATAGGCAAACATTCTGACATAAATCTTAGCAGTGTTCTCCTAGGGCAGTTTACCCAGGCAATGGAAATAAAAACAAAATTAACAAATGAGACTTAATCAAACTTAAAAGCTTTTCTACAGCAAAGGAAACCATAAGCAAAACAAAACAACAACCTATGGAATAGGAAAAAACATTTGCAAATGATGTGACTGACAAAGGTTTAATTTCCAGAATATATAAATAGCTCATACAACTTAAAAAAACAAACAACACAATCCAAAAATGGGCAGAAGACCTAAGCAAACAATTCTCCAATGAAGACATACAAATGATCATTAGGCACATGAAAAAGTGCTCAATATCACTAAGTATCAGAGAAATGCAAATCAAAACTACAATGAGGTATCACCTCACACCAGTCAGAATGGCCATCATTATAAGGTCTACAAATGATAAATGCTGGAGAGGCTGTGGAGAAAAGGGAACCCTCCTACACTACTGGTGATAATTTAATTTGGTGCAGCCATTATGGAAAACAGTATGGAGAGTCCTCAAAAAACTAAAAAAAATAAAAATAAACTTAGCATATGACCCAGCAATCCCACTCCTGGGCATATATCCAGAGAAAAATAAAATTCAGAAGACACAAGCACCCCAGTGTTCAAAGCAGCACTATTTACAACAGCCAAAACATGGAAACAGCCAAAATGTCCATCGACAGATGGCTGGATAAAGGAGTTGTGGTATGTTTATACAATTGAATACTCCTCAGCAACAAAAAAGAATAAAATAATGTCATTTGCTGCAACATGAATGGACCTAGAGATCATCATTCTATGTGAAATAAGCCAGAAAGAGAAAGAAAAATGCCATATGATATCACTTATATGTGGAATCTAAAAAAGGGGACACAAATGAACTTACCTACAAAAAGAAATAGACTCAGACATAGAGAAAAAACTTATGGTTACCAAGGGTAATAGGAGTGGGAAGGGATAAATTGAAAACATGAAATTTGCATCTCTTGGGGAGTGATGGGAATGTTAGCTATCTTGATTGTGGTAGTGGTTTCATGGGTATATACATCCATCAAAATTCATCAAATTGTATATCTGAAATAGTGTAGTTTACTGTTCAGGAACCATATCACAATAAAGGTGTTTAAAATTAATAAATAAACCTAATTACCTCCCCCCTAAAAATATAAGTAAAAATAAAAAACAATTTTAATCCCTATTTTGCAGGTTAAAAAAAGTTGAGACTTAGAGAAATTTAAAAATGTAACTCAGTAGTGTAAGTATTCAAATTTATTTTGACTTCAGTCTTCCCACTCACTTATCCCTACATTATGTTGTAAGCACTGACCTTCAGATATCTAAATCCTGTACACAGCTTCCCATGAAGTCCATCAGAAATATATCCTGGGCATATATTTATTCAGTAGATCTTTGGACTCCATGGTGGATTCTTTAACTTAAGCTATATATGCACACATTTTGCTCTGAAGTAAGGGACGTCAGAGTATGCACACTGACATGAAGAGCTAGAGGAAATAAGCTTGTGAGAGACTTTATTATCCCAATCCTTAAAGCAAAACTGTCCCAATTTACTCATCTAGGACAGGATACTTTAAGCCTAAATAAATAATCCGAAAGAGTGCTTTCAAATGCGGGGTAGGGGGAGAAGACTTCCTCTATCAGCAAGTCTTCCTAAAGCAGCAAGTCTCTAGATTTACCCTCTTGCTTAAAATAACTGGGGGGAAAAAAGCTAAAATATATAAACAGTGGTTCGCTATCAAGCATTGAAAGACAGTGATCCCTGAGAGGTAAGCATTATTATTATCCCAACTTACCACCTGAGCATCTGACTTCCACTCAGCCTGAATCTAGGTGCTGGCTGAGATTCTCTCCTTTGGGACAATGATGGGTCTTTGCACACTCTCAACTACTGGGAGCTGCTTCAAATAAAATAGGCTGCTTGGGTGATCACAATGGTTTGCGTGACAACTAAGAGCTAGGCAAGACTGAAGCATAAGTTTCACCTCCTACCCAAGGCTGCTACTTCAAGAACAGAAGAAGTGGCTGCTTTACCTAATGCATAGAAACCAACACAGAAAGTGAAGCAAAATGAAGAAACAGGAATATATTCCAAATGAAAGAACAAGATAAAAACTGAAAAAAAAGTCCTTAATGAAATGTAGATAAGTGTTTTATCTGATAAACAGTTCAAAGTAACAGTTATAAATATGCTCACTGAACTTGGGAGAAGAA